AGTCCTTTAAATTTTCAAGGACATAACGAAGGCGAACTTTTGAAGGAGGGAATCTCAAAAGACTATTCCTTTATTATTTGTGCTGAAAATGATGGGCGCCTTTTCACTTTTTAAAAATTCAAGGATAGACATCCAGTTACCAATACCATATGCTACAACCACTTGACTGATTCTTCGGAACAGGAGTCCCTGAAATGAAGGAAATATTGACGTAAATCATGAAGTTGGACTAAAAAGCAAAGCAAAGGATGGGTATATATTGCAAACTGACCGAGCGAAGTTGGAAAGGAAGCTATTATTTTTCCTCGACAAAGGAGAACATGAATTCAATAAATGAAAAACTATTAGTAAAGACGGAAATACGCATACCATTTTCCGCTCGCGGAAAAGGGAGATTCACGCCAGGAAACGTCCGTGGAAGGTAATATTTGTATTCAGTATTTCCAACAACAAAAAAAAAACGGTGGAAGCCATGATAGGAAATCGACTGCGGCTTCTTGAGAACTCGAGAAGACTGTATGGCCTAAGGGGCACCGGTCTCCCACTCCTTTAGCCTCATCTAATTCTTTTCCTGCTACATCACGAGTGCTCTGACAGTGAGCAGTAGGTGTAAAATGGATAACGAATCCATCGCCCTATCAGTGAAGAGGCAGCTATATATAAACCGTCGCCTTCAGAATAATTACAGTATTAGCATCGTCATCAAATTCCTTGTCCTTGCAAGGAATTTGAGCAAACGATGATGGGGTGATTTTCAGGAGACTGGGCAGGTGCTGGATGGGAGAAAGGGTGAGAGTGGGCGGAAGAAAATAATTGACATGGAGATGCTCGACACCATTGAAATTATCTTGATCGATGAGTCCGTCGCCTCAGTGAAGGAAGGCAATACCCATCTCTGACATGCACTGCCACAGAAGCTTCAAGTGGAACACTCTTTAATAGGTAGGGCTTGAAGTGGAGCTGCTTCAAGTTCCGCATGAAACTTTAGGAGGGAGCTAAATTTTAAACTTTTTTTTCAATTTGTCAAATTTCAAACTAGAACCTTATTGAACTAATGGAGCGATATGTGGGCTCTGACCTCAAAGATCGAGAATAGGAAAGCAGCAACTCTTTAGACCTGATCTTCTGGCAGATCCTCGAGTTTCAATGCATCCATTTGTGTTGAAACCCAATATGTGAAATGTGAATGAGTTTCCGTATGTTTCATTGCCTATCCATACGGGTTCTCCCTCTGACTTCACCCGTAACTTTAGTGCAACAATATATTCAACTGGACGTTAGATATATCGTTGAAAGAGACGTTTCATTGGGATGATACATCTCTTTCCATCAGAAGAAATAATATTTAATTGTTCTTCCCGCGAGAAATGACCTTTTATCCATCTCTCCTTTAAAAATGCACTTCCTTATTAATCCAATACCCGGAAGTTTTGGGGGATCGTTTTCAATAGTCAGCCGCTTAGGATGCAGATATTGACGATATTGCAGTCTGCTGCCCTTTCCCTTGGTCCAGTTATCTTCATGAAGGCTTTTCTTTTGCTCATTAAAGCTACCCTGTGATACAAAACTCGCTGTCCTCCCTAACTCCGCCGTGACTGTTTTCATGTCTTTTTTTAAACCTTGCCTGTTCTTTGAACGACCATGGAGATCTCTATTATCATGTTTTGAATAGGACTAGTCGAAGGGAAACCCGGTGTCAGGTGTTCTTTGCGTCATCTGTGGGAAACGAAAAAATTCATATTGTCTGTTCACACGAGCAAAGTAAGTGGTTTTTCGAGTCTTCGCGTTGCAATCAAAGCGAATCGCTTGAAGTCTTCTGATGCCCTATCAGTTCTACTGGGATATGGAGATGAAAAAGCCAGCATGAATCGATATTGGCTTGAAATAATTATTGTATCGAAATAATATAACCCATGTGGCTGAGGTTTCCGGTAGAAGCTGTGGAGCTGTGATTTTGCACCAAGATGTCACGCAGGAAAGAAAGTGAAGTCTCAAGGAAAAGGAAATAAATCAGGTTAGTGGTGCAAGTTGCCGCTCATGAAATGGTTTTATGTAAATGTAAGAATGCCCGGATATTAGTATTTTCTTGGTAGTTCGATGACTAGACAAGGTATACTTGTTTTGGTTATTTTTCTCCTCTTACAAAGGAGCTCTGTGCTCTTCTTCCCCCTTCTCGCAAAACCATGTGACGTAGGCATCGCTCTCTGCATATCCCTTCCCTTGAGGACTCAGAAGCAAAGTTACAAGATACAGTAAATGGGGGTAAGAATCACCAGCGGAAACGTTTGGTATTGAAGAATATCCCGACCCTTGTCCCCCGGGACACGATACTTGATACTTACTAGGATCTCCTTTTTTCCGCATGCATTTGGCATCGTATGCTTGCAATCGAGAAAAAGACAATCCCATGCGATTCGCCTTGAAACCTGACCTGTAGACTGGCCTCATTATATGTCAGCAATGTGGACCCATTCTTGAGACAATCTTGAGCATACCTTTTTTAAAGCCATGCCTTTCACTTGAGAAAAACTTTGTCAATGTGAACACTTTTGTGACTATCGGTACTGTAAGACCCTGAATGTTTTTCTGACGTTTTCTTCAGTGAACTCCTGCACTGTACGTATTGCACTCTCCCAGGGCCAATAAAATTCTGACAGTCGTGTTGGGGACCACCCTTGCGTAGGAGTGCGGTCTCATGAGGATTCTTGTAGTTTCTCGGAAAAAAAGCCCTGGTAATCATAAAGTTGCTTCAATAACTTTCATCACTTCCAGATGGTCGAATCAGCCCTTATACTGTTATCGATAGTTCTGGTTTCCTATGGGCAGAGAACGTCGTGGGAAATATTAAAAGGCCAGACGAAAGAGGACAAAATTTTCTGAACTTCGTATATCTATGTATTGTTGACATGTGCTGACTCAATTTCATATCCGTAACTTGAGGGAAAAAGAAGGTCCGAATAAGAATCGCTTTAACGTTACAAGGAAAGCATCACACTGTACTTAACATTTTTAAAATTTCTTCTGCCCTTGCAGGCGATTCTTACGCTCCGATCTCCATTCCTTCCTTGCGGTAGTTTCATCCCAAATAGTTCTTTCTCTGTTTCGCAACCATAAAGGTTTTGGATTTATAGTCACTGATGAGCACTAAAGTGTCATCAGTACGCTGGAATTGGCTTATATGCATGTAATTTTTGTCAGTCGTGACAATGTTCCCAGTCTTTCTTATTAATGTTTAGCTCCACGTTTCGTTAAGCTCTTCACTACTAAGCATTCTGTATTCAATCTGCCTAATTCTGATGACTTCCCATCGTTTTAACGAAATGTGCCCTAATTTGACAGTTAAATATTCCCAATTGCACGAAAAAGTTCGGTGTTCACTCGATTAAACGGCGGACTATAAAAAATGCTCAGGTAAAACCCAACGGCCTTTTGCTTTCTGCCAGTTGCAGGACCCTGCTCTAGAGGTAAAATTACGGCGTAGAGTTTGCTGGAGGCTGCTCCATCATAATTGAGACTCCAAGACGAATAAGGCTGTCGAGAAGCGTGCAAGGTCGTTTTTGTTTACTAGGGTTACAGTATGAATGCGTGGAGTCCTATGGAGTGCCTATTGAGCCCGCATGCGTAAGAGGAGAGGGGGCTGTCTAGTCCCACTTCCCTCCACGAGTGTGCACCGAATCCTTACAATAGGCCTCGTCGTCTCGTCTCAGTCTACCACGTGGGGCCTCCGCAGCAACATCATTTCTTTCAACGTGTTCTCATAATGAAGGTGGGATCCGGAACTGGCCAGATTTTTTTAATGGAACATGTGATCGAACGAAGTTCGTGAATTTCTCCCAACCCCTGATGCCAGGAACCTTGGAACTCGTGATAGATCCGTTCGCAGTCCTGCCACAATGAAAGGATGACCCTGAAAGTCTGCTCACAGGATAATAGGGTGTTTGTGTTTTTCGCCTTCCTAATCGTCGGTAAGCTGCGCCATCCTCTCCTCCCGTTTCGAAAGCGATACCGTCTCAGCTGGTGGTAGGGAATAGATGACGGTGTTTGAAAGTTTCATGAGCCCCATGATTATGATCGAGATGAGATTTTTCAAATATTCATCTCCCGACGGATTGATCTCGTGGAAGGGAGAGCATAGAACTTTTTTTTTCCCGTTTTCATGCAATTCTCAGCTTTGCAACTAGTTCTTTTTCCCCTACTTGCCCAGGGGATGTCAGCTTCTTGAGAAAGTTTATGTGCACAGGATGGATGAACTACAGGTGCTGAAAAATTAAGAGAACTAGGTCGGACTGGACAGACGCACGGAAAGGATGATTAAAGAGACTCATTTAACTGGACTTTGGGGGGGGGGGAAGAAAGATACATTGATAATCTTCCAACCCCAGACACCACCAGTCAGGAGAGAAAGAAGCACCAAGGTCATCAGTTGACCCCTCTTTCCCAACCAAATGGGATTGCCGGCATTCCCATATTCATTTTCAAGACCAAAAAAGTTCCCGACCCCCTGAGTGTACATTATCATGATGCACGCTCAGGCCTCGGAAGCCCAATTAGGCTGCGGGATATGAATATCCCCGCTTCTAATGTTTACATGTTTGCCTCAATTTTTTGCTTGCCCTGTCCTAAAGTTGAAAAAGGGTCCCCCTACGTGCTTCCATCCCCTTCAAAAGTGGCCAAGGAAATCATGGAGTGTCCCCAGAGAGCGCGAAGAGGAAAAATTGGTTCCATTGTAGCGGAATTTGCCCGGGCGATCTCCAGGGAAAGGCCTTTAATCTCCGGCCAAATTGAATGGCCGCTTGCAAAGAGCAGACTGCCTTCTTCTCCATTCCCCATATTGTCTATGGATCGAGACCCTCATGCATGGCATGACCAGAAAGACAAACAGGGGGATGTGGGGACTTCACCCACGTCAGTTTTCGAGTGCCACACCCTCTCCGCATTATTTTAGCACCCTTTTAAGTATTATGAAGTTATTCCCTGCCGGTCTCCACCCTTGGAGAAGGATGAAAAGTTTTTGCCTGTGTCGGCTGACACCTGTGCCAGCTCAACTTCTTGATGAAGCCATCAATGTGGAATGGGGCAAGGAATTTATCTTCCGAATCTAGGGCTGAGAGGAGTTCGCATCACGAAGTTCGAGGTCCCTCAGGTGGTGGAGAATGGGACTTCCACTCCAATACTACTGGACTGCGATTACGAGTTCTCGGAAGTGGAAAATATGAGCCTGGTCATCAAGTGGTTTTTGGACGACTTCCTTAAACCAGTGTATCAATGGATACCCGGGCAGAGACCTCAAGTCCTGGGTGTTCTTAAAGGCAGGTTGAATCTGTCTTATGTGGCCTCGAGTGACGTCTTCAAGAGACACAGGGCCATCGAGATCCTCCAGCCCACAACTGAATTGAGTGGCACTTATCGGTGCCAAGTGGAATCTTTCACCAGTGAGGATACCATGGAAGGCACGATGACCGTTTACTGTGAGATGAGCGACTCCTCCCTCGAGTTTGTCTCGACTTCAGAGGAGAAAAATAAAATCTTTTTCTCTATATCTTTAACCCTAAAAGCACCGCCTCGGTGGATGGAGATGAGGGGAGAGAAACCAGCATCAGATCGAGTGAACGTGTCTTGCATCGCCGAACGAGTTTTTCCCAAGCCCAAAATGGAACTATGGAAGAACGACCTCACTGGCAGGTAGACCATATAGGCACATTTCACTTCAAGGCAAATTGGTTGAGATGAAACCAAGCAGGTTTAAAATCTGTCTCGAGATTAATTACAGGCTTCTGAGGGTAATTTTCTTGAATCTCATTCCATCATGCACCACTTACCATGTCAGGAATAACCGAACAGAGAAGATTGATACATACAGTCCCCAAAATATCTCTCTGGTGAGCCTGGAAATTACTATTACCGTCAAGAAATGTCTTCTCGTAAGGGAAGCTTGGCTTCTCGTTACCTTAAGCAGTACGCCATGGATCAGAAAATTCATTTGTATGACCCTCATTCACGACACATTCATTTGTCAGTTTACCTTAAGAAACTAATACTAAATTTGTGAAATGGGATGAATCCATTGCGTGGATGACACAGAAGTCTTGGAGCATTCCCTACTCTAGAGGTGCATCATAATGTTTTCATCTCTCTCAATATGCTGTGCCTCCCTTTCTTACTCCTCCTTTTGAGCCCGATTGAAAGGGTCATGGAATTCACCTTTACTAAAGAATGGCAATTTGAAGCAGCGAGCCGATGACTGCATTTTTGCATTTCAAATGCACTCTGAAGTACACCCTGAACTGGTGTTCATTCGCGTCCGGATTAACCGGTTTTCGGGTTTTCCGTGAACAGTAAAAATGAGGAGAGTGGGAATTTCACGCGCTTTCACAACTCAAGTGTACAATACTGTCTGCGCATACTGTACTTCAGAACTGTTCTGCAGTTGTAAGAAGACTACTAAAAGGAGGAAATCTGCAAACCCCAGCGTCTCCTTCGTATTTTCTGATCATACCCCAATCGACTTCCCTTCATTAAAATGAAAATTGGGCTTCTACCGTTATCCAAATCAGGAGTGAGATGTTGGGGACGAGAACACGGTCAGAAGAGAAGGAATACTCCTATGACGTGATCGTGTGGAAGTTGATAGATGACTGGAGCTTAGAGGAGCAAACCATCTTCGAATGTCTTCTTCACATCCCCAAGGTTCAACTTCGGTTGACGAAGAAAATGATCTACTATCCAGGTATCGTGCGACTGTTGTTTCATCTGTCTGGTTCTCTTATGTCACGTCGATACAGATCTAGAATCCTACCATGCAAGTTGTCCTGACCTCGTTCCCCCCTGTCCTTTCTTTTTTTTTCTGACTGACTCGCGGTTTGCCTGACTTTCTCTGAAGCTGGCAATCGATGGATCCATCCCATCCCAATTACCTGCCCTCTGCATTCTCAGGCTTTTTTGTCTCTATTCATCCTCCTTTGACAGGTCCTTTGTTTTACCCACTTTCTCAACCAGGGCTTACGGGGCCGTCATTGGAGGAAGAAACCAACGAGATCCCCATCAAGCATCGTGAGAGTCCTGACGACGATGATCCTTCCATCGGTAGGATCTTTTTCTCGTTTCTGTTACACTTTCTTTCAAGCCGAGGAATGCATGTAACAGCGTCATCCTTGTAACGTGGAAATGAATATCGGGAGCCTTTGGCTCGCGATATTTATTTCAACGTTCCTCAACATCGTGAACCTCTGGAAGTGTTGGCAATAATTCTCTCGCGCAGATAAGGCAGTGGTCGGCAATTAAATTTCACAGGGCCAGATGGAAAAATGTTGCACGTTCGCAGAACAACACATATAAAGAGTCATTAAAATGAACATTTTAAAGAACGTCTAATCATAAAAAATCTATTGAGACTTGAGATCGCCGGATCTTTGCAGGCCGCCTGTTGCCGACCGCTGCGATAAGGCATGAACCACGCTTGCACATCTCTATTTGTCTAATATCTGCCACCGATCGCAATCGAATCTCTCTCATCTCTCCATTATCCCCTGGGTTTCTTAGCCTGGAATCACGTACTTCATGCTGTGCTTTTTTTTTCTGCAGCCATTCCAGTCGTTGGTCAGGACGGAGGTGAGTCATGTCCCCTCTCATTTTCCATTATCTTAATTGGGGCGTGGGACCCTAACCATTACAATTCTTACAAGTGGATGTGTGTCAGTCAGTCGGGCCATTCCCAACGCCTCTGTTCCATGCATATTTTTTTTATTGGATACTCTTTTGAGCTGAGGATAAAAAATCAATGTTCGCATTCATGCACACTAATTAGATCCGGAGGAAATCACAATAATGATTTTTCTTTCGAACCTCGTTATCCGCCATCGATTCAACGACTCCTCCAGTATACCCTACGCCCTTCACATGCTTTTTCTTCACTTTCTGTTTTAGGAGTTCAGGTTGCTGAAGCCGAAATCCAGTTGGTCTTAATGCTTGTCCTTCTCTTGTCTGCGATGTGACTCGGTGAGTCTCAAGTACAGTCGGAATAATTCCATCAGAATGAGAAATGCACATATTATTGCCTAATCGAACCTATTTTTTTTGCAGATGTCGTTCTTGCACTGTTCCCTTCATGAAGGAGAAATCTTTTTTTTTTGGTTTTTGAGGCTCGATGTTTGGCATTGTGATACCTTCCAATCATATTGCGGAAAATATACAATAAAAAAGTTACTTTCGCTATGTGCCGTGAGTGAAAGTCTTATCGTCGGAGATGCCAATCGGGGCATGGAAGTGCGAATCGCGTGCGGACCCATAATGGCCCGTTTTATGGAGATGGAGATAAGAGACTTGAGAGAGAGAGAGAGAGAGACAAGGAGGAGGAAGGGAGGAGTGTCTGTCTTTCGTTTTCTCCGTTTGTCCATTGGGAGTTGTAGAATCTCCATCGCGGAGATTAGCCGCGATACTTTTCATCCCATCGCACGCGAACACGAAGAAGAGGAAAATGGCTCAAACTCTGTCCTCTTCCTCTTTCTTTTCCTTTTCTCTTTTATGGGCGCACATGTACCTCCGCCACACGTGGGTTTTATATCTTCCGACCCCCTCTCTCCAATATTGGTCTGGGTGCTATGCTGTGTGCTATGCTCAATTGGTTCCGGTTTTTGGAGTAGGAAAAACCCTGAGAAGACTTTCAGCGGGGAGGAGGGGGAGGGGGAGGGGGACTGGGGGAACTTGCCTCCATTCAGCTCATTCTTACGATTTCGTGAATCGTTTGGAAGAGGTGGGAGGGGGGTGGGGGTGGGGGTGGGGGTAGGGCTAACAGAGTCGTTCACAAATGAATGTAAGTTTCCCTTCGTTACTTCTTTCCTATATTGCGTGCCGATCCCGTCGCGTGCCTGTCTGTATATTGCTCGACTTTTTTTTCTCTCCCTCTCTCCCCTGCTTCCCACGCCGAATCGACTTCATTGCTGCTCATGTCGCCGCGATCCTGGATTTCATATGGTATATGCTAGTCTCGGTTATGCTCCATTTCCTCATTGATCGATTGGCCTCTTGAACGTTTGCTATATTTTTCACCTTATCGATGCCTCTTGCATCACTTACAGATGTCTTTCGGAGGAGGGTTTTCCTTTGGGTTAATTGTTATTAGACAACTTCCTGGCGTATCCACAGTATGAAAATTTGCAACTCATGATTTTCGAATCACACGGATGCAGGGCCGGCCTTAGGCATATGCCCCCGCACAGGGCGAAAATTCACCAGGAGCGCCTAAACGGGACTGAATGTATGAAACAATCATGGATACCACCCTCAGTTTTACATCAGAAAGGGGAATTGCCTTCCATTTCGGCGTCATTTTGGGCGCTAGGGATTGGCCCTTCTCCCTTCTAAGGAGGATGGGGGGGGGCGTTGGGAATCTCTTTGCACAGGGCGCCGAAATAGCTAGGGCAGACTCTGCCCGGATCAACTCTTTCACTGCAGAGTGCCTAAAGTTCCAAGAAATGACGAAGTCTGTAAATGCTTGCATCATGCGGCATGCTGGCATTAGATAGTAGAAGAGGCCAAGCCGTGGATTGTGCTGAATTTCTCATCTACCTTTCATGAGGGGGAAGCCGGTCATATCCCAGGAAGCCTTAGCATTTTGAGGAGAAATTCTGGCCGAGTGATACGAAGGGATTTCGAGGGATCAGACGCCAGAATGAGGGGCATTCAATTCCTCCCAAATCGCATTTTCATCACCGCCAGCTTCGACCTCTAGTATCCTTCTGCTGCTGATTAGATCTTCAGGCTCATAGATCCTATCCATATAACATCTAAAGCGGAGCATGTAGCTTGATAGCCTGCTCTCCTCGTCTGACTTCGCTTTCTCGGGATCCAAATCGACTCCTTTCACCAACGCTCAGGATGCATTTTTGTCATCCTCATGCGGAAAGATGGGGCGGGGAGACAAGGCTTCCATGTAATTAGATTATCTCGGATTGTAATAAGTAGATAAGCTCATTGTTGTGCAGATTTTCGGGCCGAAATCCTTTTTTACGGATCAGCAGCTACTAGAAAGGAAACAAGCGGATTGATAGCGTCGTTCGAAACGGCTTTGTTCCAGTATGTTATCCGAATATCGCGTGTAGTCCTATTGCATACAGGAAAACCAAGAGACGGCAGACAATTATTTCTTCTTCCAGGAGATTAAACTTGCATGCCATTATTACATATGATATGTAATAAAATTTGCGTCTTCAGGTGGATCTGGAACAGAATAAAGAAGGACTAGAAAGAAAATTTATTGTACATAGAGACGTTTTCTTCATCATCGAGGCCTAGGAATAATTCATGAAAAGCCGATGAGATTATAGCTTAGTCACGAAATCGTCGGGCCTTGGCAAACATCTCCAAGTCTATGCCGATTGTTTGCCTCAGGATTCCCTGTGACTATCGATTCCAAATACAATAAGGGCCTCTCATGTATATTCGGCAGAAACTTCTCTTGTCATAGAGAAGAGCGAGGTTTGCCTACAATCGACTCGAGGCCACTCATTACCCTCAGTCTAAAGAGATGGGATTATCTTTTCTGTATTGTTTGTTATTTGTTCGCATTGTGTCTTTCGGTCGGCCAGTGACAATTGGAGTGGTTGAGATGAAGGCCTGCATTGGTAGAGATTCTATTGAGAGGGAAAATGCCTCCTTGAGATTCTATCTTTATCTTCCTCTGAGTTGCTCATTGCATTACGTCTTCACGTTCTCTGCATGTTCTGCTTCTAATTTCCATTTCATTTTCTCCTCCGTCTCCTCCGCCTTCAACCTTGAATCCCAAAGAAAATCCCCTCTTCACATTCCCCCTTTGGGACCTGGGAAAAAGTAGCATCCCTCTATCTCTCCTCTCACAGCAGTGCATGCTTCTCTCTCTTTACTTAAGTTGTGCCATCTTTTACTTCATGATGATGCCTTTCATTTTACTGTATATGCACATCGAGAGACGCCAAGAAATAGGAAACGTCGAGGAATACGTTGAAAGTGTAGCATCAGTCAATCGAAAGCTTTCCCATCAAGATAAGGTCTCCTGAGATCGTGTGAGTCATATAAATGGATGAATCCATCGATTCTAGCGCTTTCTAATGTGAGTCCATCCCTCCGGGACCAGAGTATTGCTTGCATGCACTTCCGTTCGTTCAGCCAAGAAATCCCCTCGAGAAGGTTCTTCTTCCATATTCATCATTTTAGCGCACATTGAAGGTTCTTTAGAGAATTGTGATCGCGAATTTATTGGATCCATCAATTTTCCCCCTCTCTCGGCCCCTCCCCATATTCCGAGAGAGCAAGAATCCGTGAAAAAATTATTCGTTTCGAATTATTCTCGGTTCCAGATGAAAGAGCAGGGTGGGAAGCCTGGGCAATGAAGGAGATGATCGGCATGGCAATGATTCATGGGGTGTCCAAGCTCTAAAGGGAGGGGATTTTCAGGGTTTCATTACGTGGGAAAGGGAACACTTGACGGCTGGGTTGAGATGAATACTGAGCCTTTAGGTCGAAGATATCCTCACCGCGTTCAATGTCTCTCCGTTCCAAGCCTCAATCATCCTTCCTCTCTCTCCCTTTCACTTTGGCTGCATTTCCTTCATTTCCCTACTACTGTTCTGCTGAAGATGTAACGCATTTCGGTGTTTATTCGAACTAAGGAATTCCATGAAATATTTTCAGCCATTTATCAAATTCTCGCGAATAACGCAAAGCCTTTTTTGGCTACTATTTATAAGTATTTCAGGAGGAGGATATTAGGGAAACATGAACGATTATTGTCATCTTATCTGAAATTGATCTCAGAAAAGGTCAATGGGTGAATCATTCAGTAGAGGATGTGAAGACGTGACCGATGAAGATGGCCATTTACGGATAGTGGGCCTGTCTGACCGGCTATGGAATATTAAAGCCTATGAAGACCCACTTGAGAAATGGAACATATCCTCACCATCCGACAGGTATCGAATATTGAATCACAGAGGCTGAGATTATTCCAGAATGGGGATGAGAGAAATAATTAAACGTCGTTACTTCTCATGGGAAATATGTCTGAAATTTATGCAAGTCACGCCTCATTCCAAAGAGATATAGACGTTTCCATTAGGTCACCCTCATTCGATGAATTCATCCATTTGTAAGCTCTCAAGCATGAAAGTCTACCAATTACATTAAAATTTGAATGAAAATTCTCAGAATTCGTCATAGATTGTCGTTTAGGGAAAGCTCCATGCTTTCGATTCGTTTTGATAATTTTGACTGAAGTGAACTACTCCATCGAAGGGTAAATGAAATTCGATTCTATTATGGATGCTAACGCGAGTGATAGTGTGTATGTGATGAAGAGAAGGTTCTTTCGTGACATGAGAACTCGCATCACCAGAGCGGGTTCTCACGGGCATTATACTGTGGTATATACCGTGCATGCATATGGATAGAAACGGAAGCGCAGCTGCCTGCCACTTATTAGGACCCACTGGCCCGCCTTATTATCCACAACCCATTATTGGTAGCGTATATACGATACTGCCTTCTATATAATTCACTCTCCCTTCCCTGTCTCGTCTCTGCTCCTCTCCGTACTCCTTCCTAATGAAGCAGTTCTCTCGCCTTTCATCGATCTAGATAGAGACAGAAACCTTTTCCCCTTCTCTCTTTTCCATCGTGGGAAATGTCTTCTTCCTTTTTTTTTTGGACGGGTTTTCAACGTCCTTATTTAAGCGAGGCGGAGGAGAGTATTCTCTCCCGCCTTCCTAAAGATGGACCCGCTCATCCTCTAGGCCTCCTGATCCCTATCTCTTCAGGCTGTGTATATTTGAAACCGCCCTGTAGTCGCACGAGATGTCCAAGCTGCATCCCATTGCGTAAGATGGGAGAGGAAGGATCATTCATACTGAGTGAAATCGGTGTCGGAAGGATTCTTAATCTTAGAAGTGTGATATGAACATTTATTGCGACGCTTCTCTGGATAATTTCGTTTCTCGGTGGTTGGAATTCACCGAAGTCACAATCCGTTTTAATTTCCTCATCTTGCATCCCTAAATCTCGATTGATATTGAGCACTCAATGCTAGATAACGAGTACAAACAATTATTTCCCCTAAAAATCTATTCGTCTGATCTGAGGACTGTCATCTTGCCATAAATGGCTTGATTCTTATTTCCCCTTAATGCTAAAACGTTCCCGGTATCATTTGATCACCTATATGAATCGGAACGAGTCAAAGAAGA